CCCCTTCCGCAAGACCCCGGCCTCGGAGGCCCCAGAAACCGGGGGGGGGGGGGAAGAGGTGGAAGGGGGGACCCCACGGCCCCCGAACGTGGTGGCCTAGCGAGTGTCCAGCCAGGCGACAAGATGAGGCTTTCCACGGGGGCAGAAGCCTGTTTTCTAACAGGTCCGACTGGGGATGAACTGGCCCTCTCCATCTGCCTTGTGTTCTGCTATTTGCTCAGTGCTGGGTCTCATGCTCCTCGTTAGCATTAACTGCAAAATCCGTGTCGTCATGTCTTGTTGCTCAGCCCTGCTCTTTTTCCCGGTATTTTTTGGGGGGTGACGGGGGATGGGTAGGGGTTGGCCTCTGTCTGCGACTGTTACTGTTCTTTTCTTCAAACGAATCTGGGCAAGCTTCACGTGCTGTCCCTCTTCGGGTGGCATCCGAAGCCGCCTAGTGATGGCTCTCTGCTTAGAAAGAGGTTCTTTCTCGGAGTTTTGAGTTTTTGCAGTCGTATGCTCTCGTTCGCTGCATCTTGATTGATATCTTCTTTTTTAGAGACGGACTTGCTCTTTAAAACGTGGTGACCTCACTAGCTTTCTCATAAGTGATGGTGTCAATGATAGGGGTTTGTCAGGGAGTAGAATGAGCAGGTTGAAGGCACTTAAAAGAAACAAAATTAGGAACAAAGTTTTTAAAATTAAACTGTAGCTTGAGGAAAAGTGAGATTAGAAAAACCTTATTATCCTTATTTCTTGGAAACTTTTTTTGGTTGGTTATCAGGTAACTTAAGGTTGACAGCATTTATTCAGTTGAAACTTGACTAGCTTCTGTCCATGAATGACTAACTTTGGGGGGAGTAATAATCCTTTTAAGTATTTTTCTTGCTGCTTGCTTATGGAGCATTCGTCATTTAATGACTGACTTCTTTTGGTTGGTTCCCATGCTTTCCTCAGTCACTAGGCATGGTGGGAAATGGTCAAATAATAGAAGCTTCAGGTGAGGCGGAACTTGGGTTCATGCAAGGAAAATGAGCAACATTCACCTCAGAAGTGGAGTGAAGAATATTTGTAGTCCTCCTCCTATCTTCGGTCCTTTTATTAAGGACTCTTCCTATTTTTCCAAACTGGGTTTTCCTCGCTTTTTGTGTTCATGTTGCATAGAAGGGAATGGAAGATGGAGAACTTTCCTAGTTTCCTGCTAAGAATGACAGTATTCCTTTTCCCTTATATTCTTCTATGTGAGAATTTTAACTGTAAAGTACACTAATTGGTTTAATTCAGTATTCAAAATTTATGGAGCTATAATAAACCTTTCAGAGGCATATTCAATCTCTTCTTTGGTACTTTTTGGCAACTGTGCAGGTAGCTCAAGTTGTAAAAAATCAAGCAACTTGTCACTTTCTGGAACTTTAAGCTATCCTTTAGAAGATGCACCTTTATTCTACAAAGTCCAGGCTGTGTTGTGATCTATTTCAATCCAAATTGTGGTACTAGAAAATGCTCACATGCCTGTTCTTAGGCTTTCGCTAATAACTTTCAGCCCTTATGCCATTTTCAAGTTATCTTATACTGATTTAGTTTCTACTTGGTCTTTTCTGATAATACGCAAACAGTGGTAGAAAGCTTTTTATATTTTTGTTGGGGCGATATACAGGATCAATCCCATGCTTAAAAATATTATCATTTAAAAACTTTTCATGAGACCGGGCACGGTGGCTCAAGCTTGTAATCCCACCACTTTGAGAGGCCGAGGCGAGAGGATTGCCTGAGCCCACGGGTATGAGAACAGTCTGGGCATCTTGGCCAGGCGTCATCTCTACAATAAATCAAAAGTTAGCTGGATGTGGTAGTGACTGTAGTTCTGGCTACTTGAAAGGCTGAGGTGGAAGGATTGCCTGAGCCCAGTGGGTCGACGCTGGGGTGGCCATGAGTGTGCCACTGCATTCCAGCCTGGGCAACTGAGACTCCAACTCAAAAAAAAAAATTTATGAGTTGTTATTTTGTATGTTTTAGATTAGTAATCTAACCAATGCAACTTTTCTTCTTTTGAATGGACTTCTATCATATTATCCTCCAACTACTGTTAGTGTATTGAAATCTAGATTTTCCGTTTGTTTATTTTTAGTCCAAATAGTGTTGATAACTAACAAATTACCTACTTAGTGAAATTAGCATATTAGCTCTTCACATGTTTGAAGCAAATACAAATTGAGGCAGAGTCTATTTCATTCATCAAGTATTGAGGTGAATACATCAATGCCTTGATACTTTATAAGTGTTTCTATGGACAAATGGCACACTATTTATAGAGAATCTTCCTCAAAATAAACCTAGAATTGGAATCCCAGGTGGAAAAACAAGGAGACATCATTAATCTTCGTGGAATGGACTCAAAAATTTTAAGGTCACCTGATTTACAGAAGTCTCTTTATTATATTTTATACATTAAGATATTTTCATATTGCAATATTTTGGCATAGTGTTGAGAAAACAATCAACAGGGTTTAATTTGTAGTTTAACTACTTGTTAGTGCTTGCAAAGCACTCTGAATTCCTTTATCATTTCAAACTATAGTGTTCCTATTGTGTGGTCACACAAAGTGCTTTTTCATTTGGGTATCCTGATATGTTTGCAGTATGCCAACTTATTTTTCTTTTGTTTATTAAGAAATAACTGAAGTGGGTGTTTAGTACCTGGTTATTTTTAAAATATTTAAAGTGAGACGATCTACATTTTCATTGTAAAAACAGAACATAGGAGTGGGTATAATGTTATGGTAGTCCTCTCTCTTGTTCCCCGTCCATTACCATGACTCAGAATTAACCCTGTTAACATTCCGTAGATCCTTTAAAACAAAAAGATAATTACACAAATCGATATACAACATATGCACATCAGTTTTTAAATACTTTTCATTGAATATTTTTGGGTGGTCTTTGTCTATGCATGTGTAGCTCCACATCTCCCTGTGAAAACTGCATCATTGTAAAAGTCGCAGTGTCAAGGGACCAAATTACTGTTTAGTGTGTCACCTACAACTCATACATTTTAAAATTATGATTTCATACAATTTCATACCTTTTATCCTAATGGGTTAAACAAAATTAATTATTGATCGTTTAGTATAGTACTTCCTGCTAAAATGTATTTTATGTTAAAGAAGAGTTTGTAAATGTCAATCACTGAATCTTTTAGCAGTTCTTGCATGTAAATCTCTTTTAATAAAGCCATAGAATATGACTATTCCATGTTTATTGGACAAAATTTGGGTCAAGGTTTATGTGTTGGAGGGCATTTGTTTCTAGTAGAGCCACAGTTTGATTGATAGTTCAATAGTTAGTGAATGATCCATCAGGCCTCTTGGATCTTTTTTCTGAACGATTATTTAATCTATATGTAATATTTTTCTTTAAAAAAAATCTTTAGTGGCCGGGCTCAGTGGCTCAGCCTGTAGTCCCAGCACTTTGGGAGGCCGAGGCGAGTTGATTGCCTGAGCCCGTGGGTTCGAGACCAGCCTGGGCAACTTGGTGAGACCTTGTCTCTATACACACACAAAAAAACAAACAAAAAACTTTAACGTATGAAGATTGTTGTGTTCTGCTTTTCATTTTTATGAAAAACTTTGAAACAATTTTCTTATTTCTTCAGATATTTATTTCAGTTGAATTTTAATTATTTTGCCTTAATACAACTTGGTTATCTAGCACAGTGCTGCTAGAATTAGATGTCTCAGAAAACTGAAGTTGATAATAATTCCAGAACCTTAATTCTTTAGTCCAATTGTAGCCTTTAGTAAAACTTCATATCTTGCTATACTGCCTTCCTTAGTTACCTACTAATTTGATAAACTTAGCTTTCCAGAAGGCCCAAGGCTAGAATGCAAAAGGGGAAAATCTGAGTATCAGAAGCTAATTAAAAGGACTAAAATCTTGATGCATACACGGGACATGGTGTGACTGGATGATTTTCTAGTCTTTATGGAAGACTTGTTTTTAAGATTCATATTTCTGTTCGTCAGGCTGAGAAGCACCAGCATACAAGCAGATTAAGTTAGATTGGTATAAAGTGGCAATGGGTGCCATGATCTGCCTACTAGACCTTCTTATGACTTGTATCAGCTTTATCTTAATGTTGAGGGACAGCAGCTCTGAGGGGAAATGGCTGTTTTAAGCTCTTTCGTATAGAGTCTAGATTAACATTCAGATTATTTTTACAGATTCAGATGTGCTTATACCATTGATATTTTTCCCCAAAGCTAGATTGTGACCCATTAGTGGGTTATTAAGTCACTTTAGTAGATTGACGAGCATTTTTAAAAAATGAAGTACAATAGAATAGAAAATCAGAGTTTATCATATCTTACATTTCAGTACTTGTCTTAATTAAACTTGTTTCAGTCTTACACTGGAAATATAAAGTATATTTGTGTGTTATGGTCAAAATTAGAAAAACCCCAATTTATACTCTTTGAAAGCCAAATGGTCTTGGAGAAAACAGCTGGAAGAGCACAGCTCTCTGAAGATAGTATCATACCTTGGGGATAAATCAGGTCTTGCACACCTCAACTAGGAAGACAGTTCAATATAAGAAAATGCCCAGGTAAAATCATGCCAGCAAATATAAAATACTGCCATATAAGGAGGCTTTATTTTAGTGGAAAGACAATTAGCAGAATATTGAGACTATATAAAGTGGATGTAGTAAGGATTTAAAAATTTCTCGACTGGGAAAGACAATAGAAAAGTTGTTATCTATACAAGGGGGAAATGGTGATATGTACAAGTTAAGGAGAATTTAATGAATGAGATATTTATCTTCCACATGTAGTATGAAGACCTTAGACAGCTGGCTAAAATCATTGCCAATTTTTCATTAAGGCTGTTGAGCACCTTGTGCTATACATATGGCACAGCTAAATTAGACCAGCTAACCTGTTTTTTGCATAATTGATTTTCAGTGAAAAGACCAGAGGGTGCTTCGCTTTCTGACAATGCTAATTGAAAATGCACAATGTTTTCCAGGAGCAAATGGAGTTGACTGAAGTGTGTGAAGGTGTGAGTTTGAAATGAGTAACTTTGAAACACTGATGTGAGATGCTAAAGTAGAAGCTTAGTTCTAACTGGGTGAAGGTGGGTGGGTGTAGGGAAGGTGTGCTGTAGGACAGTTTAGTACTTAAAATTTCGACTTTACCATGTGTTTTCCTATTATCTTGATGGTGTGATATTTTGCTGTGGCTGCCCAGTTTGATCCTAGCAGGTGTCAGTAAGGCAAACATTGTTTAAGAGAGCTAAAGATTGGTTGATTGTGCTTATCAGTGCCTTTGCTTAAAATAAAATTTGTGATTGGAGACTCTTAAGATTGGCTATTACCACATATTACTTGTCAATTACAGGTCTACAAATATATGTATTGCTATATCACATGTTTTTTGTATACTTTACAAAAGGATGACTTTAGAACAAAATGTTTTCTTGAGAA